ATCTTAAAAAATGCAGTTCTACCGCAGGTTTTATTGGGGTATACATCAAACGCTTGCGAATGTAATGAAAAAATCTTCTGAATGCTCAACGAGTTTGACATGCAGAAAAATATCGAACCAATCAACTCATTTTTCTCGGCTATCATGCACAATCGAGAATAATAGCAAGTCCCTATATAAATCAAACACATCTTCGATTCGAAATGTATAATCGTTTTTATCAATCCTATTTATTTTGATAGGATTCTTTGTAATTATAATTAGTACTATGGCCTTTTGAAGTTTATCAGATGAGAACTTGGACACCCCGTGATGTATTATGCATTTTGGAATAGCCCTGTATAGTGCATTCAAATAATGAATGATGGTAAACAAAAAGTAAAGGCCCTTGTATTCAAATTCAATTGTATTTCATTCAGTCGTATGTCAATCGTATTCTTTTTTTTTTCTGTTATAAAACCATAATTTGTATTCGTCAAGCTATTGAAACTATATTATATTGAATAATATTGATGTAAACATTCATAATTGTGAAGTATGAATACGCTTAACCGCCATTGTTTTGATATATCATATTTTTATATTGACTACTTATTACGTGAAACGACATAACAAAAATATTCAAGAATTTGAATTTTGGTGGATAGTGAGCATCCGCCAAAATTTCAAATAGGATATACTCTTGTTATTTCATTAATTCACTCTACGGACAGTACGGATCTTGCTACGAATTGACTGAATAATTGAGCAAAATGATCTCAGGATTTTCAAGACAGAATTTCCTGTGAGATTCCAGAAAATACTCTCCTAATAATGGGCATTGATAATATGTAATGTGATTCTCCAGCATAAAAATAAAATGAAGTTGTGATATCTAATGAAACAATTCAGCTATGATTGAGAATCTTTCATTTGCAGAGTAATAATTCAAGTAAAATGGAATTCATTATTAGTTCCATACGAACAGAAGTAAATTCTCTTGTGAAATTGAATATCTGCAACGAGAATGAATAAAACTATAGAATATAAAAAACCTAACGTCACTTTTGTTGTATGTGTAAGAGTCAGTCATTTAGTTTCTGTTCTATGATGAACGGATACTGAGCATGATTTCCATAGTAAACCAGGCTTTAAAATGTTTGCAGCTTCCGTTATACTGTTCTTTCTGTACTTAAGGTTTACCAGTTCAGGAATGAAAATTATTTGTTGATCGGTCTAAATAACCTGATGATAAGAAGAGTACATCCACAGTTTCAGTTCCACTGTATCGAGCCCTGTATTATCAAAGATGTCCGATTTCAAACTCGGGATCCCGACTTTAAAGTCGGGGGTCTCACCTGTACAGGATGTCTCTTTATATTTTGATCCCTACCTACTGCTTCAACTATGCGAATTGGAGAAAATTTCAAATATCAAAGTTGTAGGGTTTCATCTGTACAATCTTATTGCACCCTTTGAACAAACAAATGCGAATCGCGAAATGAAAAAAAATTATTATGAAACCTTCATTAAAGAACTTTTGTGGATGTACATTCTATATATATATATGTGTGTACAATATACATCCATTGGATAATCATCATAGGATCAATCGAGAACCTCCTTTACGTTACACTGAATGTAAAATATTGGATCACACCCGTACGATCATTATCGTACGTACAGGGTGATTGTTCATATTTTACTCAATAGCTAAAAATCTCATTGTTGAATAGATGCAAAAAAATTGAGAGAATTGGAGTTGTTCATAGTCATATACAGAATTTTTTCCAGGTATATAATGTCTACATGCCTTTGCCATACCGAATATATACATTTTCATGAATGGAATACCCTGAATTTCATACCGTCCTTGGGTAGACCTCAGAAAAATGAGTTCAATGATATATGATAACATGGGTATGTCACCCGTTTCGAACTTTTTCCATAATCTTCTTCAATAAATAGCCAAACAAAGCCTTATAAAAACGTGAACATAATCTTCTTCAATAAATAGCCAAACAAAGCCTAATAAAAACGTTGAGAATAAAGTTTTTGATGCGCAGTTTTCATCAGAAATCAACAAATTCTATATGTTATATTGATATTACGTCAATATTTAAAAAAATCAAAATAACCAAAAGTTACGACGAATTTTGCAAACCGATCATTTTCTCCAAATTTTCCAATGGAACGCCCTGTATTTCATTTCATCCTTGAATATAGAGATGATAAAGACGAATTCAATGTTACATAATGACATAGGTCTAAAAACACCCGTTTCTGACTTATCCATGAACTTTTTCAATCAAATTTCCAAACCCTCTAAAACTGCTGTTAGAATATGTAAAAATTTAAAAAAATATAATAGAGTTATGAATAAAGGTGGATTTATTCAGCATCATTTAACAATCATCAAGTTACAAGCAATTAAAAGTTGAACATCTTGTTTTCAATGGAGGTATTTATGCAGACATTTAACAATTATCAATTAACAAGTAACAAGTAAGAAGTTGGCCAACTTCTAACTGTCTTACTTCAATTGACCCAGGTTTTCTTTTAGTACATAAAACAATCGCACTCAACAAAATAATTGTGAACGAAAGTAACCCAGTTTATTTCAGATCAGAAAACATTTTGAAATTTGAAATTTTAGCTTCTTATGTAAATTGTCAACAACAAATTTTAAGGTTATGGCTTTGATAGCCTTGACTTAGGGCATGTGCGCTTGTGTACTATTCATTCATCAATTGTTAATTTGGTTAGCATAAATGTCAATATTCCCAATCACTTGTTAATTGATAATTGTCAATTGATAAATGTTACTTGATGATTGTTAAATGTTGCTGCATAAATACACCTTGAGTAAAGTGATTAATGATTAGGTAAGAAACCTAGTGTCTTGGACTCTAATGTCGGGATTTGACTTTAATGTGGATATACCGACATTGAGGTCGGGACCCCGAGATTGAAGTCAGGGGTCCGACTCTAATGTCAGGATCCCGAGATTGAAGTCGGGATTCTAGAGAAAAAGTATAGGTGGCACTTCAGCGCCTTCGTAGCAATGTCTACAAATACATAAGCTGTAACTATCCATTGTTTCGAATCTAGATAGTTTCATTCTATGATGATGGTATGACGATCGTCGTGTCAAGTCAAGGCGAAGGTGAACTCGCCGGTCATAGCCAACTAAACGCAGAACGCAGCGCCAGGCCAGACTATCGTCAGACGGACACGCAGGCAGGGTGGGAAACTGAACTAACTGAACCGACGAAATCGAGAGTTCCTCCGGGGGCCACACTTGGGTACACGGTATTCGCGTATTAACAAGCCATGGGCGGACCGTCTGCATTTTCCGGAGGATACAAATTACACTGAAAAGGACACCGCACGTTTTATTGGGAAAATGGGCCTCCTGACGAATTGGCCGAATTTTCGATATGTTATAGTCCAAAACATTTCGAACAAAATGTATCAAATACCAAACCATTCTAATGGATGGTTTTGGCACTAGAGGCCGCTGAAGTCTCAATCTTGATTTCTTTTCTCCTGATAAATAATGCTCTTTGAGCCTTTATTACATTATTTTTTGATAGGATAAGTCACTACTAGAAGTATTCATCAATATTTTTGCTACTGGTCAACAATTATGAGTACAATGTGTTCTAGCTATTACAAAATACGTTCATTCGAATTCGAGTTAGGACTAGGTTAGGTTAGGTTCCATGTGAGTGGGGCGAACACCTCCCCTCCACTGCGACCCCAGATGGGTCTATTGTGGCTCACCCCTAGAGGTTACAGTTCACCGTACAATCCACATCTTTTTACAAAGTTCATGGTTGAATTGGGTGAGATTTGTCTGAAATCGATAGGTTCTAGGTTGGTAAAGCCAAATGTGTCGAACCTTAGTCTTTCTAAGCTAGAGCATGAACATAATATGTGTTCAGCCGTTTCGTCTTCCACGCAACAGAACCGACAGTCCGTTTGTTGGTTCAGACCCATCCTTCCCAGGTGGTATCTTAGACGACAGTGTCCCGTAAGCAGTCCAGTCAGAATTCGCAGGTTACCCCTGCTCCATTCTAGGATCTGCCTGGTTATTTTTTCCGATGGTTTAGGCAGGAACGCCTTCGAATGGGTTAATCCTGGTAATTCGGACCAGTACGTGAGTGTTTTTCCCTCCGCCCAGCCCGAGATAGTTGTTTTCGCCGCACTTGCGGTGACCCCAAAATATGGTTCTGGTCCTATGAACACAGATTCGGTTCCCTGTTTGGCGAGGATGTCGGCTTTCTCGTTACCCTCCACCCCCTGGTGTCCAGGCACCCACAGCAAAGTGACTCTGTTGTTAGCACCCAGGCTTTCTAGGGATTCAATGCAGCTCCATACAAGCTTGGAATTTATCTTGCTGGAGCTCAGTGCTTTAAGAGCAGCCTGACTGATACAATACTGATATTTTTGTTTACTAGAGGTTTATTCGACAACTCTCTAGCACACAATGCAATTGCGAATACCTCCGCCTGAAAGATTGTAGCATATTTGCCGAGATTGACGGAAATTTCCGTCTTCGGTTTTCTGCTGAACACACCGGCTCCCACTCCACGAGGGGTTTTTGAACCATCTGTGTACATTACGTGTTCGGTCTCTGGGAATCGGACTGATCCGCTTGCCCATTCGTCTCTCTTCGGGAAGAGGACTTTGAAAGACTTTTTCACGTGTGTCTGAGTGGCCATCATGTCGGAAACCATTCCTAGAGTTTGGTGATTTTTTGTTTCACACAGTATCCCGGAGTGGTCCAGCAGTCGCCCCCCTCTGATTTGATTTTCCAATGACAGGAATCTGAGTTAGGACTAAGTAAAGTCGTGCATGAATTCACTATAAGTGACGCCGCTGTTATCGGTCGGACCTTGGTTATATATTACGAACCATTCGTCTTTGTGTTGAACCGCGAACCTTTATTTTATTCAGGTCTCGTAGGAAGGCCGATGGAAGAATGGAGAAAAACGGTTTTTTGTTGTTTTACATACCTCTGGCGCAAAGAGTTATGAGGGTTTTAGCGTGACTGAGGACAATCTCGTAGCTGATGTTCCAACTGTCCTCTTTGGGTAGCCTGTTGAGGAGGTGCTTGAGGAAGTCGTGGGGTGTCACCGCTGCCACGTCCCATTTCAGTTTACTTAAGACTAGAAGTTCCCAGCTCTGGAAGAAGAACAAGAGTCAGACATATCATGGTTTTTCTACAAACACTACTAAAAGACCACCAGAACAAAATATATCAGGAATTCTAAATCTCTATCACACAATTGAGGATTGCATGGTACACCAAATATTTTTTTGATGAAAACAGAAACATCGGTTATTCCAGATTTTTTGGGATTTTCTCTCCTCGTTTCTATGAAATAAAAATATGAATATTATTTCAATATACATGTAGTAAGGACAAATCATATGATTTGCCCCAAAATGTCACTGCGTTTGAAAAATTTTTCTATCAGAGCCAAAAAAAAATTCACTAGCTTATCAGTGACCAGAATATTTTTTAGAAAAGTTCAACTGAAAGTTTCTCTCTACTTTTCTTCACTCTGCAACAGTGAACATCATAAGCTCATGGCTTTCTTGAAACAAAAAAGAGAAAGTTACCAGGCTAAAGATTTTGTGAGTTTAACAAAAGACCATATCGAGTATACAGGGTGTCTACGAATCTATTAGACAAGTCATAACTTCCAGACCATTAGGTGTATCAAAATGAGATTTGGTATAGGTGAATGGCATTTCGAGAGGAGAGTTTTCAGATATTTTTCACTTTCCGGTCACTTCCGGTTTCACCGGAAATGGCTCCGGTTCTAAATTTTTAAATGGAACACCCTGTAAATTGTAACATTTTTTGGATTTCCGAGACAATTCTAGATCAGATTGTGACATTTCCCAAAGTTTTTATGCCTACTTAATTTTGTTGGAGTCACTTTTGAAATTACATCTATATAGGTGGCCATGATCGGAAGTAAACTAATCTAAGGACCTCAGGTAATATCAGAAAATTGCAATCTCGAAGTTTCAGTGACGAGTATGATAGATATGAATAAGACCAGTTGGCAAAATTACATTTTCGTGTCTAACTATTATTTTTCAAATGGGGACCATTTTTTGACGAGCACTTTCCGAAAAAAGGATATTATGACGAATATAACGATACTAATTTATTTGCGATTGGATTAAAAATAAAAACATTTTCGTCAGTAATATTCAATTGATGTGCTTATTTGTAATCCAATCGCAAATAAGTTAGTATCGTTAGATTCGTCAAAATATCCTTTTTCGGAAAGTGCTTGTCAAAAAATGGTCGCCATTTGAAAAATAATAGTTAGACACGAAAATGTAATTTTGCCAACTTGTCTTATTCATATCTATCTCACTTGTCACTGAAACTTCGCGATTGTAATTTTCTGATATCACCTGAGGTCCTTAGATTAGTTCACTTCCGATAATGGCCACCTAGATGAAATTTCAAAAGTATCTCCGTAAAAATTAAGTAGGCATAAAAACTCTGAAAAATGTCACATTCTGATCTAGAATTGTCTCAGAAATACAAAAATGTTTCAATATACAGGGTGTTGTATTTAAAAATTTAGAACCGGAGCCATTTCCGGTGAAACCGGAAGTGACCGGAAAGTAAAAAAAATGTGAAAACTCTCCTCTCGTTATACCATTTACCAATACCAAATCTCATCTTGATACACCTAATGGTCTAGAAGTTATGACTTGTCTAATAGATTCGTTGACACCCGGTATATATTTCCTGGGGAATGCACCAGAAGATAATCATCTTATGGTGCAAGTAGCCACTTGTTATATTTGGAGCTTGTTATATATAGGGAGGAGCTGTGCTACTTGACACCATGACACCCGACAACATTGAAGATAAGGGAACTACGTTATTAGTTAGAAAATAACGGATACACAAGCTAATGTTTCTCGTAGTTTCACTGATGTAGTTGAATTATTTTTTTAATTGTTCACGAAAATATGCAGCCCTTCGACCAGCAGACACTGAACATCATCAAGTTTTTCTCAAGTACAAGAAACACAAATAAACCTATGATCCAGTTGGTCCAAGTCTTTGAGTTCTGTGGTTGGTACTGGTACGTTTGGTAGAACGCCTGCTAATATAGCTGAGAGTTTCCAAATTCGAAGCTTCATGCTTCCATGCATAGGTATACATAATTTCCCTATATCGCAATTCATGAAGGAAAGAGAGAGATACTGAAAAGCATTGCTTTGAAAAATCAACACAATGTGTCATCCAAATTGATTGTGAGGTTACCTAATGCAGGATTCAAAGCACTTACAAATCATCTTCTTTATATACAAAAAGGTATTTATATATTAGCAGGTATGAGGTTATGAGGTTATATTGAAATTTCCTTTGCTCTTGCCAATGAATGGGTTCGGTACATTATTTAATTATTAAATAGCTCATTCTCTGCGGCTTTTAAATTTGTAACAATGTAGTGTTTCCTCAGTGTTAATGATTCATCCATTTTTATCATCATTAACGAAGTGCATTAAAGATTGAGTTGCGTAGAATAATTGCTATGTAACAATTAGTTACAATTTGCTGCACAATACTGTGTTATGCCCATTAAATATAAAATTGTATTTGTCCGGTGAAAATTACAGGATGATCAATCATTGAAATGGAATTTGTCAAATATAGAAAAATTATAGCATAAACATCGAATTCCTATAGTGAATGCGAAATACAATAAAACATATCGGTGATTTTGATGGAGTCAATGAATTCAGATAATAAAAATTGAGATTAAGTACCATAGAAGTAATCAAGTAATTCATTATTCTGGAAAAATGTCTAGAAAAAGTGGAATAACTTCATCTGCATGGTCACTGTCATTAAATTGTGCTCATTAACAGATCATAATTTTCTCTTTAAACCAGTCAATGGGTAAGAAAAACATCTGCTAATTGATTCGATTTCTTGAATGTGGGGATCGCAAGGAATATAAAACAACCAAGGTTGTTCAAGGTTTCTGAGGTTTCCATTCAGAAAAACTCGATTATGAATCAATACGAATAACTTAAAGAATTTTAATGTTTTATCGCGGTTCTGAATGAATTCAGAGAAAATTTATATGCGTGTTTGTTTGAACAACTAATTAATTGATTTATTTATTCAATGTTGAAATTATTTAATCAAGAAATAAAAATTGATTGCTTTAAGCTGTGAATAATAATGCTTCTTGTGGAAACTTGAAATATGAATGATTTTTATACACAATTTCATATTCGATGGTTTTGTAACTTTCATTTATACCTTGATCATGATAATGCAATTAAATTAGCAATAATAGTATAATTAATTGTCGATATCAAGGAATGAATCAATTTAATATACTTGATGACATTGTCGTTACTCTCATGGTGTTTCAATAAGTATCACACAATTTTATCAATCCGCTAATGATGAATTAGTTATAATGTATGTAGTCTTTCATATCAGGATTCATATTATCACTGAAATTCAAATTGCATTTTTGAATATTATACTTTTGTTGAATGTTAATTTCTGGGAACTTATTGTTATCTTCCAACTGAACAGGACATGCAGTCGTGTACATTATCGTTATCTCAGATGAAATAGACGATGAAATATTCATTTTAAACAAGAAATTATATAGGGAGATGCCTCTTTCATATTTGATAATTCTCAATCAATTATTTTTCGTGATGGTAAGTTATGTTTTTATATCATAATACATCATATTATTCTATTCAATTTGAGAGATAATGTCAATTCTCAATTTCAGAGAATTTTGATTTTTCATGCTCTCTTTTCGGACATTCAACAGATATAATTCTATGTTCGACGTGGCAAATAGCCAGGAAAGTAGTTATTTTCTGTTGAATATCCAGAATTATATTATATGCATATCTTTATATGAAGGAGGAAGCAAATTCTCTACTTCAGAAGATTTTCTTTTCAAATTCTTATCGTGTGTGTTCGATAGATGTAATTCAATATTCGCCGTGGCATATAGCCAGGAAAGTAGTTGTTTTCTGTTGACTAAACCGAGAAAGAATTAATATTTTCATCACATGGAGAATGCGAATTCTCAATGTATTTCTTTATATATGTATCCATTTTATGTGTTCATAAATATATCTGAGAATATTCCTTTTCAAATTCATATGGTTATTGAGATTTACAAATGAATATTAGCGAGGATAACGTACCAAAGATATTTTCTTGCGGTACCATTCTTATTGATGCAGTCGAGGATGCAGTTGATGAAGTCAAGTTTGACATAAGTATTCGTTTTCAAATCACCACCTCGTGGTGGTGCCTTTGAACGAAACATCGAGCAATCCGATTATTCAATGAGTATCGGTGAAAGTTCGAGTCATCAATTATTCCTCAAGTGGAATAAATGAATATTTTTGTTTAAATTGACCTAAATAAACAAACACACGTGTATAATTTCCCTTTAATTCCCATGATATGTTTATTTTATGATATACAGGTCGTTTCGAAGATTTCATAGAGGCAAATCTCAAATTTCATCATAAATCCATCAGTTTGTCATTTTTGTCGAAGGCGTTGGCCTTTGTCCATCGCAATTATTATAATTAGTTCGAAAATATTGTAGTATATATAGGTACTAGAAGTTGTTGTCGATGAAAAAAGCTGACAATACTTTGTTGAATTGAGAACGAATTGTAAGAATGATAAGAATCAAGTTTTTCTTGATATTCCCATGGCTACCATGGGTTAATTTATCCAAAAAATTTACACAAAATGCGGGTTTATTGAGGAAATTTCATGATTTAGGGATATAGGGACATGTTATGTCATCTTGTAGAATTTTTCTTCTCTTTTTCAATTCATTTGAGTTTAAAGGGGGTTTAATTTGAAAGAAATGAACTTTTGACCACTTTTATGAACCACGGATATAATAATAATTTCAGCACGCCCTGTATGATATATGGAGGCGATTTCTCGTTGTGAATTGAATACTTCTAGCCTATTCAAACTATCACCAGAATATCAACTCTTCATGAATGTAGACTCCAAATCAACTTAACACAAATTATTTTTCATCTCGGAAACCGATAGCGAAAGGTATAGGGAATCATTGAAAAACTATTGTAATAATTCTGTTTTGATATAAGGTGTTCAAATTCAA